GACAATAGTGGTTCCTCCTTAGTCGATCACAATGTCAACAATACCACTTGGCTACACAGTGGTATCGCACGCCTTGACTGCAGCAGCCCAACTGAAGACCAACCTGATAACGGTTCCAAAACTAGACCGTAGCAACAACCGAAGTACACTCAAATATTGATTATGCAGATTACCGCCAAGATCAGGTACGTATCTTCATAATTTATATTCGTAATGAAAACTAGGATAAAACGAGCTCGCTAGAGAATTAATAGATCACAGTTACATATTTTGTATTTGTATTTGAGCTCAAACTCAAAAGAGTTATGACCTTCTTCCCTTTGTTAGGGATGGGTGAAAACCACAAGGCTTCTGGCCTTACCGCGTCCAGAAAAGGGGCAATCTGTGTGGTTATCGCCTGTCTCTAAGAGGAGGCCGCGACTGCAACAACTTGAATATGTCGGTCCTAGGTGAAGGTTGGGGCCAGATAGTTAGGAACAAGGGTGGATTCACCCGTCCTTGAGAGGAATGTCAATTTTATGGAGCCCCAAATAAAAAACCCTAATATCATGAGACTCCTCCAATACCAATGATCTTATGGGCTGCAAGGTTGGTATACATCGACAAACATACTATGTGATTAGCATAAAAAAACATATGCTGTTTTTATTCCGACCTTAGGAAACATACTTGTAAGGCTTCTGGCTTTGTCGCGTCTAGAAAAAGGGTAGTCTGTGTGGTTTTCCCACATCCCTGAAGGAAGGTTACGCCTGCAACAATATATCGGTCCTAGGTGAAGGATGGGGCCAAACAGTTATGAGCAAGGTTGGATTCCAACCTTTGAAACTAACTGCTAGGCCCGACCTCCGAGTTAGTTTTTAAGGCCAGGACCCAGACCCAGACCAAATGGGTTCTCAAAAGTGTTAGGCCCGACCCCTGAAAGTGACAAAAGGAAGGAGGCCGAGGTATTGTTTTTTTTAGCTTGAGTTTGAGCTCACTAGGGAATCGATAGGCCATACTAACACAATTTGTATGTCGTAGCTCTTTTGGGGGTTTCACCTATCCCTGAGTATGACCTATCGATGCTCACATAGTTTGTATGTCGTAGCAGTTATTATTTCGACCTTAGGAAACATACCAGGAAGACTTCTGGCCTTGCCGCATCCTGAAAAAAAAAAACAGTCTGTGTGGTTTTCGCCTATCTCTGAGAGGAGGTCGCGACTGCAACAATATGTCGGTCCTAGGTCAAAACTGGATTCGAACCTCTGAAACTACCTGTTAGGCCCAACCTCGAGGTTAGTTTATGAGGCTATGACCCAAACCCATACCAAGTGGGTTCTCATAAGTGTTAGGCTCAACCCCAGAAAGTGACAAAAGGAAGGACGTCGGGGCATTGCTCTTTTGAGTTTGAGTTTGATCCCGCTAAAGAATTGATAGTCCATGCTCACACAATTTGTATTCGTACTGGAAATCATACGAGTCTGCTAGAGAATCAATAGGCCATGCTCAAAATGGGCATGCCTCATTTTTTTCTCCTCTTTTGTTCTTTTCCCTCTTTTCCCTCTCCTCAATTCTCTTTCCAACTACTGTCTTTTTTTAATGGTATGTATCTGGTTGCAACGAAGGTCATATTTGACCGAAGAAACTTAGAAAAGAAATGCAGTAAGTAGTGGCCTCCGTGAAACTGAATGGCGAGGATGAGAGCTACGACCTGACGCAGACGATGAAATCAAAGAGCAACGTGATCTCGATTAGCACGATATTTTGGGAGCACCGCACGACCACCTCATGCGCAAGTTAGGAGTGAATCTTCAACTAGATTGTGGATTACCCACCTTCCACCTTTGCACACATGATAACACCTTGGCTAAAACGGAGAGTGATGACAGACCGACGAAGAGCATGACCTCAACGAGAATAGGCATGATGAATGAGGTCATAAGCACTACCAAGACAGGTATTGTGCTCATCATAGTAGCATGCGTAGGGGCGAGCACCGTCGAGATCCCCACCACCATGATGAGGAGCATCAGGATACTGACAAGCACTGATTTGTGCACCACCATCAAGCTGGCGACAAACACGATCCTGACGCAGAGGGAGATCTCAGCGACGGGAAGATGAAAAAGACCGTAGGCGAATAAAACGACTACCATGATGACGAAAGCACCGACGAGTATTATGGACATTTCCGCATTTATGAAGGTCACGGAGACGAGTAGAACTATGCTGACAGGCACCACAATTAAAGAGCAACGTGGCGGGGAATGCCACGCTCCGGTACTCACCGACAACGCTGAAGGAGGATGGATCTCTCGCTGAAATGTGGCTAGATACATTCCCCGTTCGTACCAAGTTCGCGTGCAACTTGGCACAATAACTCAACACTAGGTCCATCCCGCACTGCCATCTCGGCCAACCAGGTACACATTCCTCTCCCTTTCTCTTCTCTCTCTTCTTTGCTCTTTTCCCTCTCCCCCTTCGTCTTCGTCAACTCCTTGCTCCCCTTCTTCCTCATCAACGCAGCCCTCAGTGCAGTCCGCTACTTCCTTGCATGCGTTGAGCCGAGGACAACAAACAACAACATAAAAAAACGTTGAAGGGCCCGCTTGGCCCTTTCTAGTTCCCAACCCACACTAATGCACACTGCTCTCCTACCCTTTTGAGTGGATCAGAGCCACTTCGCGGTCTGCATCCATCTCTGGGGCTACAAAAAGGAAAAGCCTGCTCGGGTAGCCTTTCCTCGCACCCAGCCTAAAGGCACACGCACACACGAACTATCCTAACTTATCTGACTGTAACAGCAGTACGACCCCAATGGGTTTCGCAACGACCACGTCCAAGCTTAGTACAAGGTCCCAGCAATCATAGTGCCCTGCTTATCTACTTCTAGCATGGCCCGAACTTGGGTCTGGATTTCAACAATTCGTGGGTGTACAATTCCGATGGCCTTGAGGTATTATCATCGGACTAACCAGCCCAGGTAAATTCAATCTTGTGTCTAATGGGTGGCCTTTCAGCCCAGGGTGGCCTTGTTGCCTTCAGGGAACCACCAATGGGGGACACCGGCCAGGGGACAGCCAGTAGCAGAGGGACCGAGCATCATCGGAGTGGCCAGTCGCTGTGCCTCCCCGATTACCCCTCCCCCTATGAACATCAGCAGAGGCTGCTTTTTAATGTCAATTGGGGGGACCAACAGGCTCTCTTTAGGTGGCGGGTGCCAAGCATGCCCAGGAAGGTACATGAGGCCAGGGATTGAACCCAAGACCTCCTGAATGCCACTTGCGTGCCTTGCCAACTGAGCTAGGCCGCTGTTCCAGGTGTACAATTCCTGAGTGCAATGTCTGGCTTATTTCATCGATCCTGGAAAAAAAGAAAAAAAAAGAAAAGTCTCGCGAATTCCTGAGTGAAAAGGGGACTTCAAGAGTGGAACGCAATTGCTGAGTGGAAAGCAAAAACAAAACAAACAAAAGTCTCGCGAATTCCGGAGTTAAAAGGGGACTTCAGGGGTGGAAACGCAATCGCTGAGTGGAAAGCACGAGGTGTAGGTTCGTGAGAGGGAGAGGGACTGCATCTTCGTGAGCTGTCAGGCAGAAGTGCTCCGTGTAGGTTCGTTCGTGAGAGGGAGAGGGACTAAATTGGTCAAGTCCCTGTGACCATCTCGACAGAGTGGAATCTATCCTAGTACAGCAAACCTTCATGCCACAGAAAGGGCCTCGACTCACCACTCTAGGATTCGGCTAATTTGAGATTGGAGTTTCTCAGCACTCTCGAATTCCAACGGAGCGCATGCCTGTGGAATTTCCCATCTTTCACAATTCGAGATAAAAAAAAAAAGAAGAGATCCGCGAGCATTCGACCTTTTCCAAGGTTTGGCCCGGTTCGTCTGGGCGGGGCCGCTACGGCCGTGTGGCAAAATGGCAAAAGACGAATTTGTTGTGGGTTTAGGGCTTCGTCTGGGCGGGGCCGCTACGGCCGTGTGGCAAGATGGCAAAAGACTAATTTTTGTTGTGGGTTTAGAACATCGTCTGGGCGTGCGGATTCTGCGTTTCGTTTTTCGTGGCACGACGCCTTGTGGCGAGGCTCGAAGAGGGTGCCACACACTGGCAATGGCAACTGCACTTGGGCAACGCCCGGGGGCAAGGTCCCACTTGCACGGATGGATTAAGAGATTCTGGCCGTTGATCTTTGCTATGCTATCTACGGTCACTATCGCTTAATTCGTGTAAGTGGGACCTAGCTCCGGGGCAGGGGATCTTGGAGTCCTACCGGTAGTAGCAGCGTTGAGGACTTGCCTGTGGCTGTAGCTCGCGCGCATCTCGGAGTCCAGGCAGCGCTGGAGGACTCACCTGTGGCCAGCGCGTCCATGACTGGATCTTATTAGAGTCCAGGACTACCCGTGTATGGGCGCATAACGGAGCGGGCCGCCCGAACATGGTCACCTCCGGGCCCACAGAGCACCATCTGCTCCTGCGGCCGGGATTACGCGGCCCAGGGATCGCGTGAGGCTGTATCCGAGGACCGCCGTAGTTTGTGCGGTGCAAACAGAGTCCCCAAACCCTAACCGCCATCACTGGCGGACGACGGACCACCGGCCACGAATTTTTTTGAACGGAAAAAAAGGGTGTTGCGCGTATGGTATAGTGGTCGTGGCCAGGGGAAGAAGGGCTGAAAAGTGTCCACTTATCACACGGAAGGTGGTCCCGGCCCCGCCAACCGATTCCATGGTGGTACTCTGACTGCGCTGACGAAGATTGTGCTGTTTTTAGTTCTTCGTTGAGTTGGGTTATTCCATTTGGATTGCTGATCACCGAAGCGGAGGCAGTGTATAGGATCAATGAAATAAGCCAGACATTGCAGTGTGGGAGAGGATAGGTGAAGGGCGACGGAGGGGCAGAAACATCGTCGTCATCATCATCGTCATCATCATCATCATCATCATCATCAGGAGCAGCAGCCAGCGCGGGGGTGAAGGCGACGGTGTTATCATCAGCGGCACGAAGAACCGCTCGGAGTATAAACCCCTGTCAAGTTTTGTTTCTTTTGTGTTTCTGAGAAGTCAGGAGGGATATTGCGGGAGAGGATTGGATCTCCACCGTCCTGCGGTCGATCTTGGTATGGAGGAGATGCTTCGCGCCGAGTCTGGGGCAAACGCGGCGTTCTGCGGGCGGCTGGTGCGGAATGTGCTGGGGGATGAGGAGTCCGGCCCGGCGGGGCTAGGAGCAGGTCTGCCGTCTGAGTACTTCCACCGGCTGACGCATGGGCGCGCGGGAAGGGAGATCGGGCGGGAAGGAGGGGGGGGCGGGAACGTGTGCGAGGGCGGTGGGTTTTCCCGCGATGACGGCGGGGGAGCGGGAGGCGTCCACTGCGAATCCCCTTCAGCGTCATCTACTTCGACGATAGCGGCGGCTACTGCGCGCCACAGGAGGTCGTCGAGTCTCCCCGTCGACGAAATGGGGCAGCTGCTACAGAAGGTCAAGCTGATGTGTCGCTTCGGCGGGCAGATTTGCCCGTCGAGCAAAGATAATCGCCTTACGTACGTCGGGGGCGACACGCGGATCCAGACCGTCAATCGTGACGTGTCCTATGGGGAGCTGATGAAGAAGCTCACCGACTTCTACGGCCAGCCGCTGATCCTCAAGTATCAATTGTCCAACGAGGGTCTGGATACTCTCGTGACGGTTTCCTGCGAGGAAGACCTGGTCAATATGATGGAGGAGTACGACGCTGAAGTACGATCGGAGCGGACAGCCGCCAGGCTGAAAGTGTTCCTCTTCCCTGCGTCGGAATGGGAGTTGATGCCATTACCTGCGCCGCCGCTGTCGATAGGTAGGCACCGCGGAGCACATTCTCCGGCTCGTCGTCCATCTCCGGCGGGTGGGGCGGTGCCGGGGCCGAACAATTCTCATGGCCCATCCCCTCCTTATCCATACGGAGGAGGGGGTTCTGGAGGGGGGGTGGATCAACATACTTACAGTGTGGGTGCCGAAGGGCAAATGGCGGATTGCGGCCCCGGACCGAAACACCATCATCAACATTACAGAAAACAACAGCAGCAGGTTAATACGGCGGGTACGGGTTATGTAGGTTCGCCTCGTGGGCGACCGTCTCTGAGCGATTCTCTTTTGAATGTCGGTATCGGGGCGGGAGGTAGCGGTGGAGAGACGTCTACCAGCTTGGGCGTTGCTTCCAATCAGCCGTCGCAAGTGGGAGGCCCCGGGGGAGGAGGGCAATATCATCACCAGCATCAACCTTATCATCATACTACCCCGCCTCTGGTGCCGGGGACGCCTCTCTATCATCATCATCATCAGCAGCAGCAGCAGCAGCATCACCCCGCCGTTCATGCCATTTTGCAGCATCATCATCATCAGCAGCAGGAGCCGCAGCAGGAGCCGCAGCAGGAGCCGCAGCAATTGGCTCATCACAACAGCAGGGGGCATCAGCCTCCGCCGTCCAAACCCACGAATAACGCTTCTGAACTGAATTTCGATCACTTCAAGAAGACCCCGTACCTATTGCTGACGGGACCCCCTTCTCCATCCCCTCCCGCCCCGCAGCATGCAGCCTCGACGCAGTCATACAACTCGCGCGTGACGCCTCCGCCGAGGCCAGGGCAGCAGCAGCAGCAGCAGCAGCAGCAGCCGGGCCCTGTGCACGCGGGCTCTCCGAGTGCAAGCATCGCAGGAGGCAAGAACGGGGTGCAGGGGCACGAGGAGGGGGCGGGTGGGGTGGGGGTTGGTGGGGCGGCGGGGAGTGCGCAGGCAGAGAAGTACGGTGCCGATAAGCATGACAGCGCCGGCCGAGTTGACGTCAACCCCGATGTGAACAGGCCGATAGTCGTCGTTGGGCAACCGCCGACGGTGGAGGAATTGTCTGCTTCCATAGATCAGGATAAACAAGAAGAGAGCGGGCAATCTCCTTACGGCGTGATGCCCCCTCTCGCCCCGACGATGGATGCCCGCGGCTCCCCTGGCGATCGGACATTTGGAGGTGGAGATGGTGGAATGGCTGTTCCCCCACCTGCGTCCCCGCGGACTGGCAAAACGGGGGTTGAAATGCCTCAGGAACCCAGTGCATCGCAGGGCAGGCAGCAGGTGTTGAGGCGCATGGGGAGGGGTTTGTCGGACTCGAATTTGAATACTCTTGAAGCTAGATGGCGTGCGGGGACAGAGGGGTTGGTCTTTCCTTCTCAATCCCAGCTGCGGGAGGGAGGAGCAGGTGGTGGGGGGGAATGGCCGCGGCAGGAGTCCGCGTACACGTGGAGAGGAGGTAGAGACTTGCAGCAGCAGCAGCAGCAGCAGAATCAGACGGAAGTTTCTGGAGCAGGGGCAGGCGCAGCTGACGGGGGAATGGCGCGCGGCAGAATCGGCGGAGCAATGTCGGTCCACAGCCCACCTGAAGGCGGCAAACCACCGGATCCCTTCTCAAGGTCCAATCATCCTCATCTTTATCATCATCATGAGCAGCAGCAGCCGACTTTCCAGCGTGTCATGGAAACGTACGCAGAGCAACAGCCGATTCCATCTCGAGCAGAGCAGCAGCAGCAGCAGCAGCAGCAGCCACAAACGCCGCAACAGCAATCTCCGTACGCTCACCTAATCCAGGGCCAGTATGGTCCTCAACCACACCATAGTTTCTCATCAAAGCTTGGGTATCGCGTAGAACATCAGGGAGGTGGTGGAGGGGGCCACGAGGTCGCGTCGTCGAATCCATCATCCCCACGGTTTCCAATTCGCCAGGTTGTGCCTCCGCAGCAACAGCAGCACCATTCAGCATTTCGCGGCTCGCCTCCACAACACGAGCCACACCCGCGCACGTTGTACGATGACCTGTCCACTCAATTGACACGTGGACGCATTCTGCAGCAGCAACAGCAGCACACGGGGCCGGGAGGGCCAACGCTTGGGTATGGGGATGGCGCAGCAGCATTCCGGGGGAGTAGGCAGCAACAGCAGCAACAGCAGCCGAAGCAGCCGCAGCAGCCGCAGCAGCCGCAGCTGCAGCACGGGTATTCGCCAGCTTCCCCGCCTCGTGACTACTCCACTCATCAGCGAGGGGCTGAGGACTTCCACGGGAATTTACTTGGGGTTCGACATCACCATGTGGGGGGCTTGCACCATCAGCAGAAGCTAGGGGGGACCCATCGAGCACCGGAGCGTGGTTTGGTTCATTCGGATCACCAGGATCTTCGCGCTCACGCCTACACAGGCGGCGGCGGCGGTGTCGGGGATGATATTTCGTTAGCGTTTGGCGGGGGTCCCGTTGGCCCGTCATATTTTCATCAACACCATCTTCAGAAACAGCAGCAGCAAGGGGGGGGATATGGCGCCCCACCGCGCGCACGGGTGGAGTTCGGGTCGCCCATGCACCGGTACCCGGACCGTCGATTTGAACATACAGTGGGAGATCACGGGGCGGCACCAACGGTGCTAGGCGGGGTTGCCGTGGCGACGAGGGAACATTGCGCGCCCGTTGGGATCGGGATGGGAACGGGAGGCGGTGGGGGCGCGGTCAGACCGGAAGGGAATGGAGGGGGACTCGCCGGGGAGATGATGGATGTTTGGCCCGGAGATGATGCTGACAGAAGAGAGAGGGAGGAGGTACGCAATCGACTGCCGGAACGTTCTCCGTCCAGCTTTCGGCCTCTCCGACTCCCGGAGGACAGAGAAGCATTCTTGGCGGTTCCCGATTACTTGACTGGCAATCACAGAGGGGTAGGGGGAGGGAGCGAAGACGAGAACTCTCTCGCACACCAGACTCGTGGAGTTCATTCTCCTTCGGAAGGCGTTAGTGGGGCTCGCGGGGGGGGGGGCTATTATGGGGCAGGGGGGGGCGAAGTAACAGGCGGTTATCATGGGCATGGCGGTGGCGGCGGAGCCCTTGGCGATGTTCCCGCAAGTAACAGTTCATGGGGCGCGTTCATCAGCAGAGCGGGCAGGGGTAGCCTCGGTGATTTGACAGCCCTGGGAGAGGGCGCCGATGGCAGCGGGAGCAGTTCGACATCGTCTCCGGGGGTGGCGGGTCCGGGTCAGCGTCTGACGCACGCCTCAGGGTTCCACTTGCCTCAAGGACCTGTTTCTCACGGGACTCCGCACGGCGTACATACATGCCAGCTCGGTATGGCAGGAGGGGCGGGAGGCGGCGGTGTACGAGCGGGAGCTTCGGGCCCGAGAGCGCTTGTGGACGCAGGGTGGTTTGAGCGAGCGGAGGTTGCCGGGGAGCGCGCGGAAGCGTATGACATTGAAGCGGGTATCGTCGGAGAGCACGCGGGCGATGAAATTGTTCCTGGAGAAGGGCGTGGTTGGGCGGGAAGCGGAGACGATGTGACCGTGGACTTTGTCTCTGCCGCCGCCGCCGCCGCCGCTTGCGTGCCTCAACAGGAGCGCCCTATCGAGTGGCAGCAGGAGTCGTTTCGAGGGGGTCGGACCGAGGAGACGAGGGTTGGCGGGGATGGTGAAGATCGCGCTGCGATTGGATCGGAGGGTGAGGGAAGCTTTTCGGCATATATTACGGCCTATGTTACGTCGAGGGAAACCTCCTTGGTGGACCTGCATTCTGTCAGTGTCTCGTCTCAAGGCACGCATGCGCCGCCGGATGACGTAGCAGAAGGGCTCATCACCTCAGACGAGAAGGATCTGAGCGTAGGGGAAAACGAGGTGAGGTCACCGGTCTGCACGGGATGTGGACAGAACATGACTGACGCGCTGGGTGAGAGTAGGGCAGCGATGATTCCCATCTCTCTCGCTGCTGCGAGACGTAGCGGCAGTGAGCGTGCCAAGGTGGATGGTTCAAATGACTCCCCACCGACTGACGTCGAATCTTCTGCTGCGCATATAGCCGTCGATACGCGGTTGTCGGCCGTGGGAGGGGAAGAGGAAGGCGGCCAAGGTGCAAAGCTCGCTTCGGTTGGGCCTTCTCCTCCCACGTCGGAACAGGAAGAGCTCAGAACACCCAAGTATGTGGAAGTGGAAGGCGGGGAAGTGGATCGGTATTATGGATGGGGGCTGAGTGGGGGAAGTAGCAGCTCGCTTGGCGCGCGAAGTTCCCCCCCATTTCGTATTGATTGGACGGTCACGCGGTCGTTCGTGAGCGATGTTTCGTTAGAGATGGGAGGAGTGGATGGTGCTGCAGCTGCCGCGATGCACCGGGCGCAGGGGGTGAGAGATTCTTCTTATTCTGCGGCTTCATGTAGCGTGGACGCAGAACAGGAGAACTGTGACAGGGACAAAGAGGTTGCTGGTTTCATGTCCGGGCTAACGATTTCCTGTAGCTCTATCAAGCTTCCATCCATTCGGGGATCTGAAGACGGCTCCGCCTCCGTTGTCATACTGGACGCAGACAAGGAGAGCAGCATGAGCACCCCCCGTGAGGTTGAGGCGGTGAAGTCGCAAGCATTGGGAACGGTGGAGGGAGCTGACGAAGGGCGAGGAGAGGAACGGAATTTTACGGACGACGACCTCAAAGGAGAGGAGAAGAAGAGCCAACGGCACGATGGCCAGGACAGAACGGCTGGTGCTCCGACGGTGAAGGTATGGGACGAATGTGTTTCATCTTTGTCTGGATTTAGGCTGAGTTCAAATGCCACCTTGTTTGTTTTTGTTGTATAAGAAAATCATGGTCTTGACTTTTAGGGCATACTCACACTAGCACGTTACGTTTCTGAAAATGAATCTGACTGGAATCACGGCGATGGCGCGATGCATCTGACCACAATCACGTCCAGAGCTTAGGAGAAAAAAGTCCTAGTGTGAGTATGCCTTTAGGCGGAGTATAAAGACCGCATTGCTCGTTGTATAAGAAAAATCATGGTGTATGGTTTATATGAGCGGAAGGTTGACAAAAGTGTGGGAGTTGGTGGAGCGAAGGGGGAGGGAGGTACAACATGGGGGGAGGTACAACATGGGTCGGTCTTCCGAGATTGAATGCTTGGACATCAGCAAAACTAACGTTACGCTTGGGTCGTGCTTCTGTAAGGCCGAGAAGCAGCAGCAAAAGAGAGAAATAATGAAAATAAAAACTACTTGTTAGACGAGAAACTGAGCGAGCAGTCTCCGGAAAACGACAAGGAGAGACGAAGTAATGGAAGATATAAGTGAATTGATGAAGGAAACGAGTACATAATGGGGAGAAATACCGTGGCAGTGAAATATAAATGCATGCAGCCAATCAAAGTGCGAGGAAAAGCCCGTCTGGGCTAATTACTTAATTACCGTTGCTCAATTCTGCCTTTGACGCTGTGTTTTGCGGCAAGAACAGAAATTTACCGTAGCCTTGGGGGTCGTTGCTTGATGTTATGAGCTGAATAGCAATTGCGGACTCCAGGCATTAACACGAATGACCTCGCTCCTTGGTTTTTCTGTCTCCCTGTTGTTTATTGTGTGCCTCACGCTCACCGCCTCCTGAATCTGGATGCTCTGGATGCTATGTCTCCCGGTCTTATATCCCCCGTCCCCCCTTTGCTGTGCTCCCCTTTTGTTATGCTCTCCTGTTGTTATGCTCGCGGTATAAGCTATACCGGACTACTCCTTTTCGCCTTGTTGAAGTCAGTGTGTGACCTGCTCCTACGCCTTTTGCATTCCTCCTTTTTGACCGGTCTTGCCACTTTAACTGGCGACACCGTCCAGAGGATGGCGATGTGTATCTGTGGGTAATTCTGTATTTTTCACAATGGAACGGTTGGATACTGACGACATGTGATTGTAAGTTCCTGCCTTCAGCACACATCCATGCCTATTTGTTGGGTCTATTTTGCCGGCAATGACAGTACTCTGTTGTTTATCAGTCGTCCATGTGCCCTACTTCGGTCGAGCTTGATCGTGAAGGTGTGTTTTCGCTTCCTTGGTACGTAAAAGGGGGGGGGGGGGGGGGGGGGGGGGGAGGGGGCATGTATATATATGCGTCGATGTAATATGGCTGGCCGTGTGCATGGCACTGACGGCTGATGGTCGTGGGGGAGGGCGGTGGACGGGTTTGAGCTCCTGAGGGAGCGTGCAAACAATCATTCAGGAAAGGAAAAGGAAATGGCCAAGTACTCCTCGAGAGACAGGTAGGGGCCGGTATGAATGACGTCATGCCTTTGCCATCACAGAAGAAGAAATCACCGAAAAAAAAACGGCTCTCAATGGAAATGAGTAATTGAATGCTGTAACCTCAAACGCCAATTTTTTGGAAAAAGGGGTGTTCGGTATGCTTCGTAACGCGGAAGGGGTACAGCGAAATGGTTTTGTTGTTTGGGGGGGGGGGGGGGGGGGGGGGGGGGGGGCGACCCATCCCCCACCAATC